TAAACTCTAACTCAGAGTTCATGTTAATCACCACCTAAGAATACTAAATATTCTTTCCCAATGAAGACGTAAGTTCACAAACATAGAGACTTTGCTTTCTCTGGTTTGTAGGGTTGCATGTGGTCAGATGAAAGGAATAATAATAAAAAAAAAAATACCGTGTGCATTTCAGTATGGGCTAAAGCAATACCATACTTACCCCTCTCGAGCAGCACAGTCCAGTTCCACCCATTGCTAGCTCTACAGAACAGTTGATAAAGCATGTCCTGCCTTTTGCTTGGTCATGTCTTCTGTGGCAAAACGTACTTCCTCAAATGGGTTCCCATTGCTTATTCCCATTGCTTATTCCACTCCAGTGAAACACTGAGCGGTTTCATGTCGCACTATTACTAAAGAGAAGAAATTAATTCGAAAGAAATAGGGCTCGGAAATAAAATTGCAATTTTCACGGCCAGCGGTATGTTGATCTCGTGTCATCAGGATTGCAATAGCAATACTACTTTGTTGTTAGTCATGTGGCTACTGTCTTAACAGATATGAAGCATGTTTGTCTGTTGTTATCAGGATATAAATAAAGTTGTTAAAAAAAAAAAATCGATTTATTCTTTTTCTATATAACTCTTTTTGCTTCTTTGCTGTTTGCCCAGGAATATCGAACAATCATATTCAGGCGAACCAGTCACTTAGATTTGTTACAGTTAATCCCACTGGATTTTACCGTATTATACTTTAGTTTAAGGAACTAAGGAGACGGGACAGTCTTCTTGCCCATCTCTGTCCCTTACTTTGACGTTTTAGGATAGGGCTGCACTGTGACAGATTTCCTTAACGCCGCATTTATCCGCTGTCAAAACGGAACGTAAACTGGCAGCAACAGGAAATTAAGTGGTGCATCCTCTAAGGAAAATGGATGGATACAACTGTTTAGTACAAGATTTAGTGTTTTTGTCTTTCTGTGACTTGGAGGAACTGCAGCTGTGCTTAGAATGGTTTCAGGATTTGGCTGACTTACGTATGCACCCGCTCCAGGTAAGCACTGATCTTGCTGGAGTAGAGAGCATGGGCATGTTTTGGAGTCATTCCCTGCAGGGGCTGTTCAGCAGGTACAGTAGGCCAAAAGTGGCACTGATTCAAAATAGTGGCTAGAAAGATATTACATACTTGACTGCACCTGGTGCCGAGGAAACTAAAGATGTCAGTCCCCTCCCCTTTCCCCATCAATTGTCTCATATTTCTGAGATACAGGTGTGTGGTTACAGTGTAAACAGACCAAAGATTTTTCTTCTAGGCTAATAAGCTGCTTTTTTTTTTTTTCCTTACAGTATCTCTGCCAAAATATAGAAACATACAGCATGAACTTCTGCACTTCCACACCCGCCATGCACACTGGGGAGAATGACTTTTGTTTCTGGAGCCAGAATGGCAGACAGAACCTGCCCCTCTGGCAGCTATACTTCATTCTTTTCTGAATATAATATAATATATCTGAAAATATAACATATATCTGAAAATATCTGAATATAATATATTTCAGAATTTTATTTTTCTCTTAGCCATACACCACGCTTTCTGTCGTCAGAGCATCTTAAGACGTAACGTATAAGCATGAAAGGGGAATTTTTTTTTTTTTCTGTGCCATTCACTGATCTTTCTGTTGTGACTATCCAGGAGGACTGTAGCTGTGGTCATTGGCTTTTGCCACTAATTAGAGAAAAAACCGTTCTGCCTTCATCCCTAAGCTTGCAAGTCTCTAAAAGTCATCTGTACAAATTCCGATGATGTTACTGTTTTCTACGTAGCCTGGATGATGAAGATGTAACACTAAAGGAATTAGAAGGACTAGTTCAGGTTGGCTAGATAGTATCTTCTGAGACTACTATTTCTTCAGTACCAGTTGTAGCTCTTGATACCGCAACACCGCTTGCTTAGGTCTAAGGAGAAAGGAAAAAGCACAGGTGTGAGGAAGCTTGCATTGTACAACCGTGTTATCTGCAATGCAGACAAATGATTTATGATTGCATGTTTCATGTAGCAGGAATGATATTGCCAGCGGTAAGAATAAGGAGGAAAATTCAAACGCCCTTCAGGTGACAGACATCTTCAAAATAAAGAGGATCCTTTTGAATTTTCTGGCAAGTCTCATCAGGATAGTCCTACAGCAAAAAAAAAGGGAAAGGTGACTTTCCCTTTGCAGTCACACAGCTGCCCCAGAATAACCACTGCTGACTGAGATGCCCTCGCTAGGCAACCAGGAGACCTGGTGCCGTAACAGCAAACTGTGCCGGGACTGTGTTCCCCTTCTGCTTTTGCACACAACTTCCTCTCCTTGCATTGTGCAGTTCCATATTAACGTGGACGTTAGTTTTACGGACAGTTCTGACCACTTTTGCTTCACAGAAAGAAACGAGAAGCTCTGTTATTGGAAGAATTAATGAAATTTGGTGTCCTAGCGCTTTCTGTTCCCTTCCAAAGAATGGAAAGCCCGAGGTCCCGGTGGTAGGTATGGGGAAAACTTGGAATTGCTCTGCTTCTCTAGACTGGACAGGCATCAAGGGAGATGAGGAAAATCCTGTAACGTTGCTAGGCTGGCAAGAGAACCTAAATAATAATCTGAAGTCAGCTGAATAGCATAAACTTGAAGCAGGGTAAAGTTCCGATGATTTAGTTGATCATACATAATGTTAATATCGCAGGTACAATGCCGTCTGAAAGTAGTCACAGCTAATGCTTTCTCAAGATACCTTACACAGGCGTACAAGGTCTGAGCCTCGAAGCAGTTGCATTTAGATCATGCACAACTATATATAAGGGTTGAGCCCTTGAATTAAGTGTTCTGTTCCTTCTCTATTTTCAGGTTAGTTTGTCCTTTGTGGTTTGGTTTTTTTTTTTTCCCTCTTTGACAATTTGAATCCATTTTATTAATTTTGCAGCGATGCTGTCATGCACTGCCTTTGAAAAGCGTTCCTCTTGTTCCCATTTCTTTCCCCTCAGCTATTCCAGGGTGTTTTCAGAGGAAGACCAACTCCTGACTAGTTGCTTGGCCTGGATTGAGGAACCTTGGGCATTCCCTGGCACAGTGTCCGCAGCCACCGGATGGCACATTGCAAGGGGATCTGTACATCCTGAATAGCAACCTGACGTCTGTTAGTATGATTAAAGGATAAATAATATTAAATGTTTCTTTAATACGAGAAAATGCACAGCATTGACAGTAGTGATTAAGTTCTATTAAGCAGTTGTTATTTTGGACACCAGGTGATTAGCACATTCAAACCACTTCATTTCCAGACTTTGGGACCTTGGTCATTACTTACTCAAATCATAAAGTTCAGTGAATCAAGTTGTAAATAGTTTTATTGGTTCCATGTCAGAAAAAAATAAATAAAATTGAGGGTTGCGAAATTCCTTGATGATTTAAAGTTACGTATTTCCTAAGTCCTTGTATTTCTCTTTTCTGTTCTTTAGTTGCTCATCACTGCAGAAATTTAAAATTCTGTTTCTGCCTTTGCAAACACTAAAACCAACGTGATAGTTGAGAGTAAAGAATCTCTGTGTTCCTAGAACAAATGTGCCAAATGGGGAGAGTTGGAGTTTTGCACTAAGATGCACACGACAGCCAACATGCCTTAGTTATCTGAGGGAGGAATTGCCTCAAGGACGAGAGTGGAACTGCTCTTACAGCTTCTGGAGAAAAGTCCATGTTTAGATACATGCTGATGATTATTGAATAAAACACAGGACCTTCATGTTTCTGTTGTTTTGTATTTTGCTTTCTGAAAATATTTTTCATTTTTTTGAGAATGATTTTATGTCCATTATACGATAAGGCTTCCTTCAAAGCCGGTGTTCTTTCTTGGGTTGGGTTTTTTAAAGCTTAGGAATTAAATTGTAGGATCTAGACCTATTTCAAGGTTTCAGTGCTATACAACACGGTTTCCTTAAAGTTCGTTTTAATTCCTTTTAAGTGACCGGGAGCAAATTTTTGATTTCTCCAAACCAACTTGAGGATTAAAAAGACGTGCCGGCTTTATCCTGCTTTGGCTTTAAAATTGTCATGTGTTTTGTTAAGACTGTTTATGATTTCAGTGCTTGATGAAGTGACCTTTGCATCACTTACATGCTGCTTTCCAAAATTCTGTCGAGATGTTTATGACGAAGTGCCTTTCTCAGCTGTAAGCTATTTTCACTGTTGTACCAGCCTGCTTAAAATTCTGCTGGTTTTCTAGTGTGGTCATGTGTCGTAGAAATACGTATGTTTTCCAGGATAAGCCCTTCGTATTCTCTTCAGTGTACATGTATGTGCCTGTAGAACTTGTGTGTGTGTGTGTGAGCGTGTGTGTGTGCGTGTGCCTGGGCAAGGCAAGGCAAGACAGCACCATAACTCCAGGGAAAATGGAGGAGGTGACTGCGAGTCACCCACTTACTCACTGGCACATACTGTGGGAAACCTGTATTTTGTGGTTTTGTAGAGCACTTGCTTTTTTTTTGGAGAAGACAGGCAAGAAGGCAGACGTCCCCTTCCCATTAACAAATTTATCACTTGCAACTCTTATGTAAAACAAACTTGGTGTCAACTCTGAAATGAAGAGCTGCATTGGAAATCACACCTAACTCCAGCAGGTGCTGAGCTGGCAGTTTCACAGAAGATTGTGAAATTTGATCACACAATGGGAAATAGAGCCACTCCTTCAGGGCAATATCTGGAAACATAATGGGGAGCCACCCTTCAAAGGTGATCTCTGTAATAATGGGGCTTAGAAACACTTTCTACCTGCTTTGCTTAGAAAATTATGAACATTTTTAATGGTGTTACTGGGTTTTGCACAAGCACACTATATTTAGCTGTACCTCAACTAGTCCTGCGCTCAGACACACCCAAGGCAATAAACTGCCCAGTGTGTACTCGCTCCTACCATCACTTCAAGGTGGAAACTATTAATGAGTTTTTCCGTTCTCTTTATGTCCTGGTATTATTGTCAGCTTTTCTTCTCTGTCTACAGATGACAGCTTTTCACCTGTCTTCTTGTGGAAGCTGGGCATTTGTATAGCCCTTGAGTAACTTTCGCTGCAGCCATCTCCTGGTAAGTCTCTAACCTTTATATACTCATCCATGCTAATGAACACGGAACACCCAGCGTTATTGCGCCGGCCCTATGACACTCTGTGCTACTTGATGTCTCTCTTCTTTCTTCTCGAGATTGCCATAAAGATTGCACCTGTGCTCCTGCATGTACTTAGGCACACCACAGCCTCTGAATAATGTAGACTAATAGAAAAGACTTCAAAGAATCATAACACACTTTTAAAGGGCTGGAAGGAGAGGCTGATGGGAAATGTTATAAGAATTCAACGTTTCCTGCTTAGCTAAGCAGTAATTTAGAAGGACATGTAAACTATGTGCAAGTATTTCAAAGAAAACAAAAAGAAAACAAAAGCTACGCACACTGCCCTGATGCTGTAGACAAAGAGCAAAGAAGGGAGAGGCTTGCAGCAAATCATCTGCTCGAGTTTGTCATTTTTAGGTACTCAGACACAGGGTGAGAAGGGTAATGAAAATAGTTAGACAGATTTGGATGTTATTTGACAGAAGTAAATGCAAAGGGAAAGAAGGTGAGCGGTTTAGCAGTGACCTGAGCAAGTCATTATGTGATTGAAATCAATTACCCAGGAGCTTATTAGCCAAACAGAAAAAAAAAAAATGTCCATCCTTCTTGTGCTGTGGCTATTCTATTCGATCCCTATCACACATCAAATCAAAACACCAACTTTCAAAGCCGCTGAAGGGTTCACACCAGACTGTTCTTTCTGAGACAGTGATTTTCCAGAGCAATTGTTCTTGCCAGGCCAATGAAGCTATCGGTGCAAGGGGAATCAGTGATCAGCAGACACCACAGTTGTCTTGACAGCTGGAACTGGAAAGAAACTACTGCAGGTCAGTGAATTCTAAAATTTCATAAATCAAATGTACGCTGCGCTTTGACCTTGTCTCCTAATATTAGGATAGAGAAAGAAAGAAGGAGGATTTTGAAAAGCATCCCGTACTATTTTAGGGTGAGACTCAGATTCACAGTCATTGACCCAGAATGGTTCAAGCGGGACTGCAGAAGTGCAACAGACTTTGTGCAAAACTTCCACAGGCAACAACAGAACAAAGCATTTAGTACAAAGTTCAGGGGCACGTATTGTATAACTGATGTGTCTGAATAACCCAACCTTGTTTATGGCACTAAGTGCTCAATTGGGCAAAGTGTCTGTGGGTATTTCAGTATCTCTGTTAGTCTGGTCATTAGGAGTCCATGTGCTACTGAATGTCACTTCCAGCAGAATAGGGATTAAATATTTAACAGTGTTAGGGACTTTTGAAAAGGCAGATCTTGGTTTTGAGATTGCAAGAAAATTACATGCTTAATAATAAATTAATTATTACTTTAACGATAAGAGAAAATCGATTATGCAAGCTTCTCTGGTTGTTTCAAGGTAAGTAAGCACACAGACAAGCAGTTGACAAAAGGAAGACAGAAGTAGAGGCAGTGATATATAATAGGAAAAATCTCCATAACACAGAGGTACATAAAAAAAAAATCTTTAATCCAATCATATCTATTTTAGGACACAGGGATTCCCCCCTTCTCAAGAGAATATTGCTATTCTTATCACGACCTTGCAGGCTGTAATCTTACATAAATAACAATGGGACAGATGTTCTAGGAAAAAAAACCCCACTCTTTTATATTCCTAACAAGTGGATTGCAAATAAATATGTTTCCAAGTGATAGAACGGGCCGACAGTCCGTGATTTGTCTGCAATCATCCAACGCTTGCCTGGCCCTGAATGCCCAGAGTGTATAACAATCGTGCACATTTTGAACACATACATGGAGGCTTGTATACTCATGTACAGGTGAATAGTCATATTTGTTGTGACAGTAAGATCTATGCACAAAATCAGGAATGTAGAGCCTCTCTCCTTCCTTTTATAGACACGCCTCTCCTTTCTCACTGCAGATTTCAGACTTTACAGGTGGAGCTTGAAAAGCAATGTAGCTAGCACGTGGGGAAAATCTACCCCTGCAGAGGAAGAAAATCTAAAGAAACCTGGAACAGTTGAAAAGCCAAGGGTTACCGTGTCTTACTGCTGGGGTAACGAAATTGCCTGCTGAACAGCACTGTTAGGCAATTTTATTGCTCTTATCAGCTGAATGATTTTGCTTGACGGAGGCTTGTCCTTTTGCACGGGACAGGCCTATCTCTCAGCCACTGCCTCTAGGCAAAACTTATGTGGATGATAGTCTTGGTCTCATTGCAGTTCTGACAGAAAGAGTTCTTGGTTCCCTTGCCTCTCCGTATTACGGGCATGCACCTGTCCTGTTTGCCCAAGATGGGAAAGTTTGCAGTTGGAACAAAGATGAAGCCCAGGTGTTGATGGCTAGAGTTATCGTCAGAACTCCTAGAATGTTGAGTAGAAACCCAGCTTTGGCCTAGAATTATAAAAGAGAAGTGTTATTAGTTGAACTGAGTACTTTTTTCCTGCTTTGCTGATTAGGATTGTTTGCAGGGTTAGATTTTCTCATTGGCTTTTTTTCACAACTTTGTCAGAACTTCATCAAATTACATTTAAGCTGGTTTTCTTCACAAATGTAATTTGTATTAGGGGAAAATGAGTTTACATTGGATAAAACTCTTAAACTAGAAGTCCTGAAATCCTTTTAATCCACTTATGTAGGACTTTATCTTCCGACCTGGCATCTATCTCTAATATTACATTGGATTTTTTCCTGGATCAATTATAAATTAAAGCAGTTATCAAGAGACATGGTATCCTTGTCCATCTTTCCTTAACATAGTGATAAACTGCATCAGGGCAGTCTAGTGAGATGTGCTAGGCTTTCCCCTAGTCCCTGCAGAAGGACTGGCCAGACGATGGGACTCTGACATCCATATGACCTACGTTTGGGCTTTCTGAACAGTTAGACATTGCCTTTTCTCATTGACAGCAAAATCTTGTTGGAATATCTTCAAGAGGCCTTGGCTGCTCTTTAAAAGCTCAACAGCACCTTTATAAGGCCCTGAGAATATATTAGTCAGTGTGATCCTTTATTAATTCACAAACATATGGTCTTTCCATTTGCAGTAAGCTGAGTACAGTGAGTTTTCTAACATTCTTCTGAGAAGAACCAATATTACAGAAAGGAAAGACTAAAACTAGCGATGAAAATTCTGAAAAGAATGTGCTTTCGCTCACCATATCTATAACCTTGAGTTGTCCATATGAGAAGACAATGGCGTTAGGAGGAGTGGCCACTGGGAGCATGAATGCCAATGATGCAGAAAGCGTACAGGGCAGCATGACATAGAGTGGATTGAGGCAGATCGCTTCAGCCTATGCAAGAAGGGAGAGCAAAGATCACGGTTTTGATATTAAAAAAATGCATAGAAATCTTTTGGCAGAAGACTGATCGTATTTGTCCGTGTCAGAAACCTCGTTCTTTCACAAACACTGCAGCCACTCACGGTTTGGTTCTGCTTTAGAAACTTCTGGCCAATGTCTTTATGCAGCAAATGCAAGAATTGGATTTTGTGGCCAGTGCTTTGTGTACCTGACTGTGGAATCTGATCACTGCTGTAGTATAAATTAATAATAATGGTTGTATTCAACTCTAAAACCAGGAAAAAAAATGTAAATTGGCTTCAAACTGGTTAAGAACAAAACTAAATTATCAGAGGAAACGTGGTAGCCCAAAGCTCTGAAGGTGAGCGTATCAGTTTAGGGGTTAGCTGCAGTCTGTAGCCTATGCAAAAAGATTTTGGTGGACAGTATTCTAGTTTCTATCTGGCACCTGCTTTGCATGCTGCAGAACTATGTCTACCCCAGCAACGAGAATCTCCCGTGGAAATGCAAAAGTCTGAATTAGGTCATAGAGCCTGACTAATGCTATCCCCTTCAGAGACTTCTGGAAGGCTAGTGGTCGGAGTGAAGTACAGTAATGGAATGCTGCAGGGAAGCAAAGGCTGCTGCTGTTGCTGTCCCTGCGCAGAACAAAGAGGAAAAAACAAGTACAGCTGGCAGTGACCTCATGAGGTTGTTTAGGCCAGAAGGTGAAGTCTAATATGCCAATGAACTTAATCCCTTTACTTTTCAGCAGCAATGATTTTAGAAAGGTTGAACTAAGCACTGTGTGTGTGAATACATACGCATGCACGTACACACGAGTCTGTTTTAAGTTCTGTATTCCTGACTGGACACATGAAGCAGTGCTTGGCTCTGTCAGCCAGTTAGTTTTTATAACTGAGCAGATGTCTGCTTGGAGAAGAGTTAAAAGCCGTTCTTTGAAAAGTATTTTGAAACGCTGGGACTTACCATTGAAGCCAGAATAGGGAGAAAGAGGGTAGTGGTGGCCACATTGCTGGTGCACTCGGTGAAAGTAGCGATGAGGAGACACAACAGGAGAGCAATAGCTGGGTGAGGGATTTCCTGCAGAGGAGTCAGCTTGCTACCTAACCATGCAGACAGACCGGATTCCTGTAACAGAGGAAAGGGCTCTGTAAAGGCAGTAGGCTGGAGAAGAAATAGCCACATCACAGCCCAGTTGCGTTTCTCGTAACAGTTCTGCCTTCCCTTCTCGTAGGAGATCTCATACAGACTGCTCTCTGTAGAAAACATGTAAGCTGCAATGCTCATAGACACGATAATTTGGAAGGTTAAATAAAAATAAATGTTCTTTCCCTTTCACAGACTTTGAAAGAAGAAGGTACATTTACAATACATTATTGATAACAAACAATTATTTCTCTGTTCAGGCCATTAGTTGTCCATGACCAATATTTGGGACATTTTTTTTTTTAATCTAACAAAGAAGGATCTTTGAACTCACTTTCTAAAATACTTCCATATATCTTAGCAGATATATTCTAGCGATTTGATGTAATTTCATCCCATTGTCTGAGATCTTGATCAACAATCTGAACCTTTTCATACCTTTCATCCTTCTCAGTTACTGAAAAATGCCAGCATCTTCCCTGTCATTCTGGACTGTAGTTTGGGCATCATTATTTATTCAGCTGTTCTTCTCAAGAGAACAAATCCTAACTGTGCCTGTCTTGCTGCTTCATGCATTATGGCCCAACTTTCTTACTGCTTTTGCAAGCAACCTTCTTCTTCATGTCCTCCCTATTTCATATCTTGTTTACTTCAGCCTGTCTCTTCTGACATTGAAGTGCCATCTCCCAGGAGGGTTGGAATCTATCATGAAAGGACTAGACTAATTGTCTGTCCTAGGGCAGGATAGCCTCTACCTAAATTATTACAGATAGATGTTTTTCAAACTTGTTGTTCAAAATCTCTAGCAACAAAGTTTCCAAAAATCTCCCCAGATAATTTTTTCAAGTGCTTAACTATCATTACAGTTGGAACATTTTCCTACTGCTTAACCTAAATCTCCTTTGCTGCAGTTTAAGCTCTTTAGTACCATCAGAATATATATATACTGTCTCTTATACACTGGG